GAGATTTGATGGACAATTTCCATTCGCATAATTCATCGCCATTGATTTTCTTCTTCTTCCCTTGATCGCTCAACCGAAGCTTCTGATACCAGATGTTAGAAATCCACCAAAATCTATGATGAATTTCTATCAATTTTGCTGAACAAGATTGTTATCACCACACAATAACAATGAATTATATGAATGAAAGAAAATAAGACAATGATTTTCTACAGAGTTTCTCTTTGTCCACAAACTGTGAAAAACTTCTTATTCACTTGCAACTGCAAATTTTGTGAATACAACTTAATTGATTAAAAAAATAGGGGTTACTCCCTCTATTTATAATTTTAGGTTAACTTGCTCCGTAAGCCAAAAATATAAAAGTCTAAAATACGTATTTTAAAACTAAATCAAACCTATCTATTTTAGATCTAAATCAAATTTAAATCTAAATCTAAAATCAAATTGAATCTGTGTGTAGCAACTGCATCCACACTTCGACACCTTCGACGACTTCGACATTCATATAATTTTAACACAAAAGAATTACAATTTAACAACTATTAACATTTATAAAGAAATTTTATACGAAATATACTTTTTATTTTAATTATTTATAAAATAATATTTATTTATGAGTGGTTATAATCCGTTAATCTTGTAAATAATTTGAACAGACATTGCATAACAATTAATATTTTTTGTTATATTTATTAATCTACATATTAATTTAAGAACGAATCTTTGCTTGCTTTATAATAGAGAAAAAAAGAAACGCTCTACTGTTAACCAGAGAGACATGTATTTCAATAAATTTTAATTTTATTTTTAAAATATCAAAATAATATAGCAATTATTTATTTTTTAATATTTATTTACCTACATATTAATTTAAGAACGAATCTTTGCTTACTAGTGTTTACAATAAACGAAAGAGGGTATTATGTAGTTGCTCCCTATTGGTTCATTTAAAAGCGCACGGATCGCGGATAAAATAATACACAGCCGTAGATATCTCTAATCCAACGTTCAGTATTTAATTGATGTCTATTCTCACAGCACCGAGTCACTGAATAAAAGCACGCAAACATTTCACAGTTCAAACCACCTTCCCTCTTGTCATTCTCAATTCATCACTTCATTTTTCTGAAAATCTCATCACAATGGACGCAACAAAACAGACAAAGAAAGGAGCCGGAGGTAGGAAAGGAGGAGGACCAAGGAAGAAGTCAGTGACCAGATCCGTCAGAGCTGGACTTCAATTTCCCGTCGGAAGAATTGGCCGCTTCTTGAAGAAAGGTAGATACGCTCAGCGTGTTGGTACTGGCGCTCCTGTCTACTTAGCTGCAGTTCTTGAATATCTTGCTGCTGAGGTGAATGAAATTTCATATTCAATCTCAATTTTCCATACCAATTTTGAATCTGAAACCCTAATTTAATTGAATTTGAATTGTGTATGTGAAGGTTCTTGAATTGGCTGGTAATGCAGCGCGTGATAACAAGAAGAACAGGATTAGTCCAAGACATTTGTTGTTGGCGGTGAGGAATGATCAAGAGCTTGGAAAATTGCTTGCTGGTGTTACCATTGCTCATGGTGGTGTTCTTCCTAACATCAACCCTGTCCTTTTGCCCAAGAGGAGTGAAAATGTTGCTGCCAGTACTCCCAAGTCTCCATCGAAGGCCAAGAAATCTCCCAAGAAGGCATAGATAGATGACTTTAGAATTAGATGCCTATCAATGGAGCTGGGAAATATCAACTTATACCAAATGATGTAATTCAAAAGTCTCTATTTTCTGACTAGTATGATTCATTAATGAAAACGATTTGTTTTCTGTTAATTTTAATGTTTAAGGAAGTTTGTTATAATATTCTCCCATCTCTTGCAATTTATCTCTTTATGCATAAATGGTTTTGATAAAGTGTGTTCAATTCCATCATTAAATCTGAATTAGGTTGGTGCGACCTTCTTTTGCTTACATGTCTCTAAGATAGTGTGAGTCAGTAATAGTATCTATGTGTTCTACCAGTCTTTGTTTCACTTAATAAAGTTTTCAAGTGTCTTAAACATCCAACTCAAATAATGTGCTTCTTAAACATCCAACTCAAATAATGTGCTTCTTAAACATCCAACTCAAATAATGTGCTTCTTTGATATCTTGACAAATCTAACATGTATTCAATCTCTCATTATGACATACCACAATGTTTGCTTCTTAGAACATGATGAAATGGGAGAATTAAAAAGTATGGGCACATATCCAACTGTACTTTTTTTTATCCTGTCACCGCACCATGCACTAGTCTTCGTCACAAAAATCAATTAATGTGCTTCTTTGATTTTCAAAGTTTAATTACAAAACACCAAAGTCATTTGTGATAATTTAGGTTCCTACATAAACCTATTTACCACTCCTATATTATAACATATACACCAAAGAAATACTAAATATATGCAATCCGACAATGGTGATTCGTTACCAAAATGTATTTGGCCAGGTGCCTACAAATTGGTACCTATATCGGTTTGGCGAAGGCAGTTGGTAATACTTAAACATGTATTAGCTAAATATTTGAGTATGTTTATGCGAGGGTATGAGACAATGTTTGTGTAACGAATTGAGGGATAGAGAGAAGGGTGAAGAAGAGAGACCAAGTGTACCATAGAATAGTTTTGGAGAAACAATTAGCAACAATGATGTGCAAGTGAGAGAGAAAGACGCCTTCCTACGAGACTAGGTTAAGTATGATGAACAAGACAGGGATACCAATACCGAGGTAGGGAGGCAAAATAAGGTGATGGGGAGACTGGTAGCACATTAGTCATCAAATGTAAAAGGAAATATAACTAAAAAAAAGATATATTAGGCTAATCTAAAAGATAGATAAACATGTAAAAAGTAAAATAGAATCTCCTGCAGTCAAAAATTATCCGCATTCACGTTGTCAAGATATTATTAACCATTTGATTTTGATGATATGGTTTAAAAAATAGATTTCTTTTTTCTAAAATTATCAACTTTAAATAAGACTCATCTGATCTTGATCAGACGATCAATTACGCTTAAATGCGTGAAAGCGTGGTTTCGTGGCTGCAAGCTCAGTACAAAGTGAGGAAAAGAAATAATATAAAAAGAGGGAACATTTACCATAGATTCCAACTATACATTAAACTGACGCATTCAATATAAATTATGGTGGTTGTATACAGGACCGTCTCAAGTTAACAATGACAAAATAAATAGAGAGATACTCAAAATTTGAGAGAGGTCATGGTAATTTCATCTATTTTAACATCAGATACAAAAAATATACAGTGTATGTATAATGACAACTTGAAAAGCTGTGTCGTCTTCATTTATCAAGCTAATATCACTTTTCTTTAATTAAGTTACAAAATCTAGTTCTTTAATTGTACGATGATTAACAAATTAGGCACTTGCAAAGAGGGACAAAATGTTCAAGCTTAATACATTCACTGCAAAATATAAAAAACAAATATGACAGGCAATAAATAGATATTGCTTCTAGTTGATAGCTATTACCCGGCCAAAAAAGCTAAAGTAAGAAACAATGCTGCTAAGAGTTGAGTAAGAACAGCAGCTATACTACCATATTCTTCTGGTGGTAGCCATGCTACTTAGAAAGTCTTCTTATGCAACATTGGCTTCCTCACGTCTTTTCTTGAAGTCGCTGTGGTTCCTGGGGCTGGTACCATCAGATGCTTACGGAGTTCATCAGTACCATTTCCTTCAACATGACAACTTACAACTGTCATCTCTGGCTCCTCAAATACTATAAAACCCAAACCCTTGATATCCTCTGTACCAACCTGGGAACACCAACCAACGAGTTCACACTAGGATCCGCATACTGGCAAAAGTTGAACGTGGTAGTAAACAGGAACTATGTACTAACCTTGACAGAAATAGAATCTGGAAATGCATGCTCAATATTAGAACTTCCTCTTACATCCTTTTTAGCTACTTTGACTTCATAGACAGTATCAGGCAGTAGTCCTCTGAGACGATAATACCCAGAGGAATCTGTTACAGTTTCCTCAAAATAGCCTTTTGACACTGACCAGGCTTCAACAGAAACTCCTCCTTTGCGTTGACCAGATAACAAACAGAGTGACTAAGCCGATAGCACTGTAAGAGTAAATTTACTTCAGCATTTTTGAGAATGAAGTTAGAAATTACGAGCAAGGGAAAGGTCACAGGTAGTACAGCAGTACAGTATAATTTCTTGGTAAAAAAATATAATGCAGAAATGCTCGTTGCTAGGTGGTTAGGTAAAGTTTGTTAATGGTTCCTCTAGGATACCAGTTTTATATCCTCCGTCACCGTTTCATCAGCATTGTTTCATAGCCTCTTAAATATTTGTAGTCTTATTTACATATCCTAGCAATAGTTAAAGGATGCATCATCATGTGAGAGAATATGCAATTCAGGAATGTAATACATAACAGCCAACACAAAAACCAAATTGAATCTACATGAAATAGATCAGTTTCAACTTTCACATAATTGGCTGGAACATTTGGCTTGAAAATGACACCTCCCAATCTGAACACACAAATACTAGATATAAAGCCTTTACCCGAGGTTACAGAACCTTCTTATTTACATAAATGGTGTCCCCTCCTACACTGTTTTCAAACAATGTCTACTTTTATGTCTCAAAATTAGTCACCGCAGGGTCTCAATTAGTCTTGGCTGAAATAATTAGGGATTTAGTAATTGTGCAAAACTCATTGATATAGAAAGAGCAAATGAGACCAGACATACAGAGCAAGAAAAGATACAAGCACGGCAGGGTTTGAACTAAGTTCATAGATATCTTTTTGGATACAAGAAAAAACAAATTCAGCACACTTTCAGATAATGTTTTATAGTTGGTCTCAATGATTCTAAATTCAGCCAAGATGATATACCATAATATGCTTGAAAAAAATTGCTACAATGCTAAAAAGTTACAGGAACAGTACCATATCAACAACTCTAAACTTGGCATTGTCTTAAGGTGCTTTTGCCTCTTCCGCTATCGCCTGCAAAATTAAATTAAATTCAGGTGATGATCAAATAAAAACACAGATAATTAATTATCAACAAGTTAACTAGTTTATTGGCCACATCACATACAAGACCGGGCACTAGGAAAATCCATGTATCAGCAAATGTAACAGCTTCATGGCTACTCACAAGTCACAACATTACCATGTGAACTTTCACTTTCTCTACCACTAAATTGAGATGAGGAACTGGACCTGGGGAAACCCCTTAACAATAAAGGAAGTGGTGCAGATATTGGTGCTCGAGAGTCTGCAAAGAGATTATAAAGTACAACAAGACTCAGCAGCTTACCGTATCCTCTATTTGAATCCACCATATTTCCTTTCTATGATAAAAATGGAGGAAAGTTGCATGACCCTCGCTATTTTTCCAGCATAGTAAGCCAATCAAGCACACCCCACAGAGTGTTAGGTATCCAGCAAGATATCTCTTCAATTACTATATATTACTGGATAAATGAAATTTCTACTCTTGATTCCAACTTCCCCTAGATTACATGTTCAAAACACTTGTAAAACTGACTCAAACAACATAGAATAACACAGTAGTACCACCCATTCAAATCAGATGAACCACAACCAAATTGGCAAAATCTCAGCATCAGAACAAGACAAGAAATTAATAAAAAGGAAATTGATAGATTGCTCAGAATTTGAAGAAAAAAATAGTACGAGAAAAGATCAAAATTCAACAACTTGACTGCCACACAAGGTTGAAAATAGCACCAATTACATTTCAATGCCAAATTAAACTCTAAACAGTTTATTAGAAAATTCAATAACATTATGTGATGTATTACATATAAAGGGTTGAGTTACCGGAATAAACTAAGATAAGTTGTCATACAACAAATGCAATACATGTCACTGACCAAAAAATATAAAATTATTCCAGCATAAACTCATAAATAACTATTGATTCTGAACAACAGAAGTAAGCATCAAGGGACACTGACAATATAAAATGATAGATAAACTCTTTTCTAGATTCAAAGAGAACCAGCAACTTTAAGGACTAGCTTGAACTTCAATGGTCAAACTGCAACCTGTTCAGGAACTTCTAATTGCTGTTGATGTGGTTCTTCAAAGTGAGGAGGGGTTCCTGATGATGGGGGATTTGGTCCTGTAATCTGAGAAGATGTTCCTGGGGGTGCATAATACGGCACTGATGCTTTAGCTGATGGAAGAGAAGACCCTGACATTGGAGGAGTTGGCCCTGACAGTGGATAATGTTGCCGTGACATTGGAGTAGTGAATCTTGAAGGTGGATATGGTTGCTCAACCCTTTGTTGGGGCCCAGATGGTGACCCATATGGCTGATGTCCTGCCATTTGATGGGAAGGTTCATATGGTGTATAAGGATTTGAGGTAGTTTGAGGAGATACCCTTTGCATATGATGAGGATATTGGTATTGAGGGTGGTGAGACTGCCCTGTTGAATTAGGAGAAGGTCCAGCTGCTGGCATTCGCAACCCAGTCGTTGGAGTAGATGCTCCCCATGGAGGGTAACGATGCATTCCTCCCATTTGAGGAGGCAGCGGTGGGAGTTGCTGCCCTGTCATTGGAGAAGGCAGTTGTGGACGTTGCTGCCCTGAATTTTGAGGTTGATATCCAGAAGGAAAGTGGTGGTTATGTGCTCCAGTCATTTGATTATCAAAGTGTGGTGGGGAATTTTGTACTTCCATTTTAGCTGGTAATCCAGAAGATTGGTTATGTGTTCCTGCCACTTGAGAAGGCGGTGTTTGGTATCGTTGAGGTGCGGCCATTTGAAAAGGAAACTCAGAAGGCGGGTTGTGTGCTTCAGCCGTTCGAGTATCAAAGCGTGGTGAGGAGTTTTGTGTTGCCATTTGAGCTGGATACCCAGATTGTTGGTTATGTGTTCCTGCAACTTGAGAAGGCTGTGTTTGGTATCGCTGAGGTGCTGCCATTTGAGATGAAAATTCAGACAGTGGATTGTGCACTCCAGCCATCTGAGCAGAAGGCAGTGATGGGTGCTGTTGTGGAAGCCCATAAGTTGGGTTATGTGTTCCAGACATTTGAGAAGGGGACCTTCCCGGTGGTGGACGGTATGCAGGTCTTGGACGGGGATTGTATCCAGCTCGGTTCATATCTAAGAGTCTCTCAATCTCATCACCTCTCCCGTCTTTTTTAAAAACATCAGTCACAAATTCACGCAAGGCAGAAGTTACCCCAACACCATACCTCATAACCTCATCTAACAACTCTCTGCTTTTATCCAACAAACCTTCATCACACAGCCCCTTGATCACAACCTCATAACAAGAAGGGTCAGGCTTAGGATCTTTTTCTCCCATTTTCGTCAAAATCTGAGCACACTCAACAGCTTTACCATTCTTAATCAATTCCTCAAACACCCTGTTGCCAAAGGTAGCAACCACCCTCAAACCAGAATCCACCATTTTGTTAAATATCCCCAAGGCTTCATCAATCCTATCTGCTTTCAAATACCCATCTATCAAAACCGTGTGAGTAGGCACATCCGGGCTCAAAGACTTAGAGCACAGCTCTTGAAACAGTGTTTCAGCTTCAGACAACATCCCACTCTCACAATACCTAGAGATAATGTTACGGTACCCCGCAACATCCATTATAAAAGGCTTAGACTTAGGTTTGGTTCCGACCTTCCTAAAAGTAGCAACAGCTTCATCAACCTTACCTAGCTTAAAGCACTCATTAACCATGACATTAAAAGTATCCGAATTAACAGCTTGAAAATTAGGAGGAGTGTGATTATCTAACATCTGATCAAACAATTCCCAAGCCTCCTTTTGCTTACCATGCTTAAGCAAAACCTCCAACAAAACATTACAAGTTGCCGGAATCATCCTAAACTGACGATCCATTAACGACTTGTAAGAATCCATAGCCTCCTTATCTCTTCCCTGATTAAAGAACCAATCCATGTAAGTAGCATTCACAACACCATCATAAACCAAACACCTTTCCTTAAGCTCATCAAAAAGCTCATTAGCTTTGTCCAAATTACCAAGTTCAAGAAAACCCAATATCATATTATTATAAACCAACGAATCAGCACCGTGTCCTTTGTTCAACATCTCACGCAAAAGATCAACAGCTTCATCAATGCGACCAACTCCAATCAAACCTTTGGTAAGATGGCGAAACGTAACAGGGGAAGGACTAAAAGGTGCTTTAGCAATAATGTGGCGATAAATCTCAAGAGCCACATCGACGCGGCCTTCATCGCAGTGAGTATTGATTAAATTGTTATAAGAAACTATATTAGGAACAAGGTTAGATTGGTTGAAGAAGAAGTGAAAAAGAGCAATAGCTTCACTGTACCTCTTGGCACGGTATGTAGCTGCTATGATAGCGTTGCAGGTAAACACGGTCGGCCGAGTAGACGAGAATACTGAATGGCGAGCTACGGCGGAGGCGGCGTCTAGGTCACCGGCGCGAATTAGGGATTGGACACGGTTGTGGAGGTTGAGTCGAGGTCCAACCAGCGCCGATGTTGAATCGGGAAGGCGAGGAGCGTTAGGGTCGCGGGACTGATGTTGGTGAGGTGGAGGACGGATTGCGTTCAAGGGAGGCTCGATGCGATGTCTCCGCTTGATACGACGGCGTTCGGCGGAGGAAAATGCGAAGGAACGTACGGTGATGGAAATGGGAGGCACGGCGGATGAACGGAGAGATCGGAGGAGAAGCCGGCATAACGACATGAATGAATTCTCTTAAACCCTTTACAAAAAGCTTTTAACATGCATGGTATTCACTAGAATGTTTTTTCAAACAGAATTTTTTTAAGTCTTTACAGAATAATTTCTAAATTATTCTCAATAATATATTAATGCTTTCTAAATTATATATATATATATATATATATATATATATATATATATATATATATAGGGGCCATATCTCATGAGAAAGTCTTTCTTATGTGAGAGTGAGAGGGTTTCTTTTTAGCCTTTAGATTACATTGGATGGTTGAGATTCATTGATGAAGTTATTTTTTTTCTTCTAAATCTTACTTCTCTCTCCTCATTTATTACGTTAACTTTTTTTTACTCTTTCTTCTCTCTCCTAATCTTAGTCATAAATTTTGATCCAATGGCTTATAATTACTCCTCTCACTCTCATATAAGGGACCCTTTCTCACTTGATATGTCCCCTATATATATATATATATATATATATATATATATATATATATATATATATATATATATATATATATATATATATATATATATATATATATATATATATATATATATATATATATATATATATATATATATATATATATATATATATATATATATATATATATATATATATATATATATAAAAAGATAGTGTATTGATAGTACAATGAAAATTTATCGTTTAATTATAGGCTTAAATGCAGTTTTGACCCCCCTAGTTTAAGGTTTTTGGAGTTTCGATCCCCTAGTTTAAAAGTCACGTTTCTAGTCCCCAAAGTTTTCAAATTTGAGATTTTTGAAGCCCCCTCCATCTGGCTGCCCAAAAAGTGACATGGCACAGGGAGAGTAATGCCACGTATTATTTTCTTATTTCTTATTTAGAATAATATTTTTTAAACATTTAAATAAATGATATTAATTTCCAAATGAATTTTTAATTTCATAATTTATATTTTCTGAAAATCCCAAATTCATAAACCTAATTTCCTCTTCCATCCTTGCTTCTGATCATCTTCAACCCTCCTTCTTGGTACGACCTCCATCTACCTTCTATTCCATCTACCTTCTCTTCCTTCCTGCAAGCATCCAACATGTCTCAAAAATCCGTGTCGAATCCGAGCTACAGGAATCGTTCTGTTATACATGAATGCCACTGTGGTATCGATGCTCCGTTGATGACGGCTTGGACCGATTCAAACCCAGGACGACGCTTTTTCGGATGTGGGATGTACAAGGTATGATATTCTTCAATTACAAAATTTGCTCCTCAGAATTGAGTATAGACTGAATATTTTGTGACCTCCATTGTTGCAGGTTCAAGGTTTCAAGAAGTGCAGTAATTTTGTTTGGTTGGATGAGGAAATGAATCCTAGGGCAAAGGAAGTGATTGGGAACTTACTCCACAACTTGAATGAAGAAAAGCAGAGGGTTAAAGAGTCAATGGTAAAAGAAGAAGAAACAAGGATGAAGATCAAATTTTTAAAGAAACAATTGAAGTTTAATTGGTTCGTAACCATCTTTGTGTTGGTTGCATTTGTTGCAACAATAATAATGAAATGATGTAGGTTTATTAGTATTGGAGGTTCATTGTTGTCTGTAGGAGGTTCTTTGTGTTGGTTGAAATG